CAGTTGTAGCCTTTTACTTGTAGGAGCAATACAGCATTTTTCCTTTGTTTGCCATAGTACTTAGTGTTCTCCTTGGTCTTTAGGGCCTTTTCCACAATTTTGACTTAGAAAAAAAATTATTTTACAAAACCAAAAACCTCTCTTACGTGACAGGGGGACAGCTGGGGGTAGAAGCTGACAAACCACAGCATGGTCATAGGAAAGCAGAGATACGGCGTTTTTTGCTAACTGTAAGGTTTACTTATTGATCCGAAATGTACTTTTTCTCTCAGATTCACATGGAATAGCGCAAATCAATGCTTCTTCCTCTTAGGCTATGCTCAGAGAATGAAAGCTGAAGGTAAAAGAATACTTTATTTCTATTAGTAAGGTGGCAGAAGTCAAGTCTAACAATACCAATGCTCTACAGAGAAATGCAAATATACATATATATAAAAACAACAACCAAAAAACCAAATTCCAAGGTCTTAAATTAGCACCTCAATAAACTGCACAGGCATGTTCCAACACACTACTATCTAGCTTGCAATTTATCTTTCTTTTGCACTAGGACGACATCTTGCTGGTACCGTCCAGCACAGTTGAATTTTTTGGTATGGGTGACCAGAGCTGTTCTGTCACCTTATTTTCTTTTGAAGCATTAGAAGATCTTTAGGCTTGAGAACCTTGCAAATCCTGGCTACCCATGTTTCACTTGTAACTGCTGATCCCCACCAGCCAGAAAATACCACTTGGGATCACGTACTGGCGAAAGAGATGTAGAAGTATGAAAGGTAACACTGCCTTAACACTTCAAAGTTGCCTGCTGCAGATACCTTTAAACTTTTTAATCTAGCATGTGGCAGCAAGACTGACTATTCTACTACATCGTCATGATGGTTCTCTCTCACTGACAGTGCAGGTTTGGCTTTACATATACCCAGCTGCTAAGGCCAGTAGCTATTTTGGGATGAATGTTGTAGGCCTCTCCTGTAACAGAAGTCAACCCTTTCTTAGGTTAGGCTTTTTTTTTGTTGTTGTGGTGTTTTTTTCCTGTTTTATGTGTGTGTGAAGATTATACAGCTAGTAACTTTGGACAGAAATTCTGACATCAAGTTTTCCAGAACATGTTTATGTTCTCAAGACAGATTTTTCCTAGACACAATGACTTTAGTTGGAAAGACGCACAGTGTCTCAATAAACACATTAAAATAGAAGCTCACTCTGTATCCTAACAAGAGTAGCTCTTGGGTGACTGAGTCACAAACAACAGAACCAGTTTCAAAGAAATATTCCCCACCTTCTCTTCACTCAGGACATCCCAGCTCCCTCTGCAGCGATTTTGTTGTTCCCAGAGAATTCCAGGCCTTCAACTTGTGCAAAATCTCTCTAGCTTTGCCCTAACCTGCATGGCACTGATGCTACGTACCAGCAAGATGCTCCACCCCAGCAGAAATTAAAATTTGACCATAAATCACTGTACACAAGGCAGCTTTTTCACACAACGCATAAACCCTCTTAAGCCAAACACTCTCAGAACAGCTCTCTCAGATCACCACAGACTTAATAATTTAAGAATAGCTATTTATTCCTGGACTCCTATAATGTAGAATTTTAAAGGGCAATTAAAAAAAGAGTATATTTCTTAAGTATTTTACTCCTACATTCTGTATTAATCCCGAATTAGGGAGTTATGGATGCCCCATCCCTGGAGGTGTTCAAGGCCAGGCTGGATGGGGCTTTGAGCAACCTGCTCTAGTGGGAGGTGTCCCTGCCCAGGGCAGGGGTTTGGAAATAGATGATCTTAAAGGTCCCTTCCAACCCAAACCATTCTATGTTTCTATGATTACTTCGCCAGCCTCATGATTGTTTTGTTTTAAACATACTTTTATCTTCAAATAGCTTCCAGAACAGAAAGATGAAAGCCAGTTTTTAAACTCACAGTCAGAAGAACATCTCCCATAGACCCAAATGTGTATTATACACTTCTATCACAGATAAAGTGGACCTAGATTTTGCAACCTTCTTTGTAAAACTAAGGCCATGCTGCTCACAGAACTACAGGGAAAGAAACAAAATATTATTAAGGAAATATATCGGTACAAACTGTACCAGTTAAGCTACTGGACACGTCACCAAAATGCTCCACAAAGCCTTTGTACTGAGGTAGGAAGATCAGCTCCTGAGGCACACAAGCACCTTTAATTTGACTCCATTCAAATTAGCTGCACTTGACTGAGTTCTGCCACCAGAATGGCAAATCCCTCTATTAAGAAGCACTGAGTAATTACACTGTAGAAGGGACATGTGGTCACAACTTATTTGCAATAAACATCACCCAGTTCTGCAAAATCTGTACAAAATGCATTAGAAACCTGCTGGATGGAAAGATCTTGACACAGTGATGAAGCAAAAGGTTATCAGCTGAAGTAGCCAAAACGACAATTACCTAAAAAAAGGTTATGTGCACTAGACCTAATGACACAGTGGGGTATTTCTATGTTATTTTAAAAATGCAGACTCTCAAAACACGTAAGATAACAAGACTAGTGTAAAGACTTTATAACAAGACTTTAGTCACTAGCACAACTGTAGGCCATCTACCTCCCCAAGTATAAAATATCAGAGTTATGAGAGCAAAAGCTGAAGAAGAAAGAAAGAAAAAAAAAAAAAGCTGCAATCAGGCATTACAACTAAGTTTTGTCTACACAATGGAACTCAAGAAAATTAACCCAAATTAATTTAACTGGATATGTCCATTGTCCGTTAAACTTCTTTGCAAACACTTTTATCTGGGAATAAAACGTGGCCTTAATTAGGTTTGGCTTCGAAGTGAATTAAACTAATTTCACTGGAGGCCACTTTAATTATGAACGGGAGAGTGCACACAGAGACTTGGGGGATTTAAGCCGCCTTCTTTAAATTCCTGCATTTGGTTGACTTGCATCAGTTTTCCTCAGTATCTCGTGTAGACAAGCCCTGAACTGATACATTCACATGAAGTGAAAAAAATAGAGAATGAGGGAAGCTATGCTGAAGAATTCTCAGTCCATACACTAAACCCCCATGGGAACCATCGAAGAAGAGCTATTGTCCAAGAGAAGAGAATTGTTCAACTCTTTTAAGTTCAGCTCTAGGAACAATATCACCAAAGTTCAGAGACCAACTGAGAAGTATTTTAAAAATGCAGCTATGCTGCAGAAATGCTATTTAAAACACCTACTATTTTCTTATTATTTGAATTATTTGAAGCTAGAACTATCGATACAGGACACCACGAAATCTTTTCTTGAGGCGATTTATTTAAGAATTAGAGGTTATAACCTATTACTGCAGGCTAAGACAAATGAAAGTAGAAAAGGAAAAATTGAAAAGATCACGCTGTGTTTAAGAGCTATGGCACACTCCCACTGGAGAACCATTATGGAAAGCTGGAGACACTTGAAAACACCCAAGCCCCCATAAAATGTTCCAGAACAGCTACAGTCACAAAAACAACCGAGAGGTCCCTCACTCACACCCCACCGCTGACAGCAGCCTAGAGAAAAACCCAGCACCAGCCCCGAGTCAGACACATGCGCAGGGGGATTCATTCATCTGCTCAGACCTTCTGCTGGAGCATTTTTACAACTGTGTTTTCATGGAGCTTCAGAGCGTTTTTATAGCGCTATTGTTCTTACTCCAGAATGATTAGGTTCTCGGAGGGAAAAATGTCACAGATAAAGGAGAAGACTACAGATATGGGGGTCCAGAATCAAAACACAGCACCAAGCAGAAGACAAGAGCCTTTCCAGGTAAGGATCCTCTACACTGCTTCATCAATATTTTTCTGGATAAAACACCACCATTGCTACACTCTCTTTGCTTTCATACAGAACAACAGATAAAAAAAAACGAAAGTAAGGCAATTACAGTGTTTCCCTCCTTTTATTCACAAGGGCCCTCATAGTGAGTTAATTGTATTCTGGCAGAAAGCAGTAGTGCAAGAGATAAATGTAATGCTGATAAAATTTAATTTCTCTAAAACAAAGACCTTAGTTTTAAATCAAATTTAAGTATCAACTATTATCTTCTCTGGGAGAGCAATAAAGACATGGGTAGTATTATACTGTACTGGAAATATAACAATTAGAGTTTCAAACGTTAATCTGAGGCATCTTATTAAATGGAGAGTTTCATTAAGTAACATGCATCTCTTCCACTAGAATATATTTCTACAGAAGCAATATGAACAAGCTAGATCTTTTTTTCCTCATTCAAAATTTTTTCCTTATTTTTCCCCCTCATTTTCCTCATTTGTAAATTTTTGCTGACACTGCAAGAAGATATTGTTTCCAAATAGTGAACATATTCCTCCAAATGTCATCCTTCTTTCAAATAAAGAAGGTATGCTGGCCAAAACTCTACTCTTAACACAGTTTTCTGTCTCAAAAACATATATCGTACACTCTGCATGCATAAAATTTACTTCAGTACATAAAAAGCAAGATGTCTGGATAACCATTATTGCACATACATAACGTGGAGTTTCATTAATTTTTGCAAGTTTGCGTTGGGTTAAAAGTGAGACACCTGGGCCTGCAGACCCCAAGGACATGCACACGGCTCAACCACCAACACAGCTAAGACCAGCTTAACCGCTTCCCGTTTCTTATAGTTCCAGTTATTTAGCCCCCTCTTTCAACGCTGCGAATTCTAAAATTCATTGTCATAGCAACGGGAGCCTACATCTTCATTTACAATGCAGATAATCTTGCCGATCACGGCATTCACGCACAGCCCCATAGCTTCTGGTTTGCCCCCTGTGGGGGTCAGCTTTGGCCATAGCCAGCGGGTGGGACGCACCACAGCCCTGCTCTGCCCCATCCTCCTACACCTTCCCTTCAGAACAAACAGCCGCTGACGGAGAGCCAAGCTGCTGAGGTTAGTTCTCCTGCTAAGGCTGCTTATTCTTGAGCTGTAAGTAGATACACAGCTGATTAAAGCTACCTCTAAGCAACTTTTTAATTTGACGTACTTACAACAGACTTTAAAGAAGAGTTCCTTGAGGCATATGTCGGATGGGTGTTATGCTGCTGGCTTTTGGTGAGGAAAATAATCCATTTTTGCCACAGTAGAAGGTATGAATAAGCAAAATTTTGTCCCCTGAGAAATCTGAAAAAAAAAAAAAAGTATATTAATAATTGTACTTATTCTATGCTATTTAAATAATAATCTTTGGCAAAAAATCAACTTCACCTTTGACCTTAGGAGCCTAATGGATTCTATTCTCAATGCAGATAAATTACCATATGCAACACTTTGCATTAAGATGATTATTTGGGCCCAACCCAAACAATTAAGAAAAAAAATATGAATTATGAATGTACAAAAATATCCTTATGGCTATCCTACATGAAAATGGTAATTAACGCTTAAAAATTCTTCCAACAGTTCTCTTTCTTAAGATTCAAATACATCTTTGGATGTTTTTCTTAGAAGCTATCAAAATCTAAGGTAATGAACTAGTGAAGAATTAACCAGGAGAAGACTCAATCAGGGCAGCCATTTTCTTTCACAGAAAAAAGGGACAAACATGAAGAAAGAAGAAAGATTACTTTATTTCATGGGATTTCTTTATTTTTAAAAGAAAAAGCATTTCTCTTTACATATAATCTACATATAATCTACTCCTATCTCTTAAATCTAAATCCTGCTCCTTGCAAATGCATAGTCCAATTACTATAAGCTTCACCTTATTATTTTAAAAGGCACTTAGAATCAGTTTTACTGTTTCTGTCTTTTTAATCCATTCACAAAACTCATACGCTTGTAACTGAACCCAACTTTATAAAACTCAGGATTTAACAGATACCTGCCCAAACCCTTTCATCATGGAAAACATTCCTTCCAATAATGCTTTTAAAACAGGCAGAAATATAACAAGGTCCACATTTTTATGAATTTGTGAGAGCTATGATATGAAAACAGAACTTCGTATTATTTTTCATTAACTCCTACAATACATATAGAAATAACTGAATCTCCAATGCATAAGAGCCCTTACGTAAAAAATCCTGTCTGTATTCAGGAAATTACGTAAAAAATCCTGTCAGCTGTAATTCAACTGTAACATGAAGGGTTTGTGAGCAAATATATACTACTTCATAAGATTCCAAGCTTTTTTTTTTTTTTTTTCCTTCACCATGATGTATTTTCATGCAAGAATCATACATCTGACCAAAGAATTATCTTCAATTCTTTGTTGGAACTTACTTCTGAATGTACCACATCACAGATATCCTCATGCAGGACTAGATTATTTTAAAGCTCAGAATAACATAAAAAGAATAATTTCATACATTGCAAAGGAAATACAAGCAGCAGTCAAACCGCACTTGCCTATGTGACCCTCATTGTTATCACCTTCACAGAACTTAAAAAAAACCCCAAAACTGCAAAACCCTCATCAACTTACAAAAGTAACTTTAAATAGCTCTAACGCTTTCAAAGATACTTCAACTGCAAGGGATAGAAATAACCATGGAGTGTGAATAAGCCTCAGCATTTCCATGTACACCATGTTAACAACCTGAATTATCTACACTACAAAACTCCTATTAGCTATGGGGAAATAACTGAAGACTTTGTTATGCAGCTTTCAAAATCAAAGAATGATGTTTCTGCTAAGGAGATGTAACTTTTATCACTGCCCTGAAAATAATCAAGCATTAAATGTATGCCCCTTTTTTCAGCTGCGTATTAACAAGCAATGATTGAAATATTTATATAGTTTTGTTCAATCAATGCATCAGCTGCACAGAAAAATAAACCCTTTCCATCCAACACTCGCCCTACTTCTTCAATTGAAAGAGGACTTAATGCTTGCAGTACATACATTTTTTTAGCACATCACAATGTACCATGTAAACTATGCTAAAAATTATTCCATTTAGTTTGCTGTCATAAATAAGTGATCTGAAAGATTACCATGGATACTACGACTGTTAGGGCACAAGGAAATACATGTAACTCAGCCCTTTTTGGCATTTCTCACACACACACAGGTCAGCTTCAAGAATTTATTTAGGTTTCTGCGTTTTTTAATAGTTTTTCTGTATTTCACTGAAGACTATCTTTAACTTGATAGTACAGTATGCATAAACTCAAGCTTGTACATAACTTGCAGTGAGATTTACAGCAGTTACTGCTATCCCTGCCAATAATTCCTTCAGTCACTCTGTGAAATGCAAATTCTTCCTTACAAATGGCCATACACCTGACTAGCATATAGGAGATTATCACCATAATCTGTGTAGGAATCAAACATCAAGGCTAACTTCAGATCTTAAGAACTTAATTCTGTTATCACGAATAGTCCTTCTGACGGAGTCTTCTCCCTTCTCTTTACCCCCTGACTACAGCATAAACTCAGGCTAAGGTCAGCTGCTGCAAATATCTAGTTTAAGATCAACCTTAAATATTGCTTACTCTGGTTGTTGTATTCCCCTGTGCAGTGGGCCAACAAACTGAAGAATGCTCCCCAGATGACCACAGCTTTGTCCATGACAAATTATAGAGAAATGTAAATATATAGAATAAAATTAACAGTCTGAAGTACTAGCACAAACAGCCTTCTCTTTGTACTGAACCTTCATCACTTGAAACCTCTTTGTAACCACTGCATGAGAAACATCCATCGCTTTATCTATTTTCTAAATCTCCAGAGTCTGACACAAGTTACTGATGAAGGAAAAGATCTCTCCTCTAGTTAGAGGAATTCTTATTTACCCTGACCAGAGTTTCTGCCATATGAGACATGAAACACATTTTTCCCCTTCTTGGTTTATGTTCATTTGACTCAGAAAATGTGTGCAGTGGATTGAGCTGACAGGGATATGAAGGCAGAAGCTTAAAGGACATCAAAAGTGTTAGCATTCTAAGCTTTGTATAAATAGTCTTACGGATATAATTCTCGGAGCATCTCTTATATCCCTTATCTTCTTGTACACAGAGATTACAGAAAGGTTCAAATGCTTAATTGTATGTCAAGTGCACCATCAACACATTAGGAGTTCAGTATAGTTTTTTAAAAAGCAGTCTTTAGCATATTCATGCCTTGATGTAGGCAATTCAGCTGCTATTTTAAACACAAGGCTTGACTGTTACTCTTCATTTTGCATTGCTCCTCGCATCAAGGCAATACACAAAATGGTGATTTTTCCACACTCCCCTGAAAAATACTGATCCCACCAATTGGTTCATCCCACAGCTGCAGTGACAGACTGATGGGAAACCTCCCTCTCTCATAAGTACCCTAAAAATAACGGCAGAACCAAACTTCTGAGATTCAGATTATGTACAAAAAGCAAGTCCTTAGATGTATATAACGTAGAAAGAATAGCAAGTTACTAGCTTGCCAGGCATTCACATAACGTGCTGGAATTCCACAGTAAGCACATCAGCTCAGCGTAAAAGGCAGCTAGATAAGCTACAGTAGCAAAGAGCTCACACAGACACACTATTCAGCAAAACAAAACTGGTAATTTCGCCTGGCTGTGACTCCCATCCTCATTTCGGTGAAACACTAAATTCCTCAGTTACTGCATTTAGTGTGGAAAACTAAACCATAAAGAATAGAAGGCTTAATTCTTTTTCTTACTAAAAACTATGCTCTGATGTCATCTCAGAGATTTTTAGAACAACTAGACAAGCAAAAGAGAATATAAAGGTATGAGACATGGAATGTAGAATGATTCATTTCACAACATTTTGAAGATGCATAATTTAAGTATCACAACGTGTGTTTCACTTAAACTACATAAGTAATTGACAGTTTGTGGAGCACCCGTTAGGAAAACTGAAACTCTATCTGAAATCAGACAGACCTAGAAAGAAAGCACTCCTCCTCCCATCCAAAAAGTACGGAGCAACATATCACAGATGCAGCACTAAAGGCCACTGAACAACTCCATAGCGATGCTGGCAACTGAGCAGCCACCGCTTGTCATGGAGCTGGGCAGAACCTCGGTCTGGAACAACTCCTCAACTCGGGGTGCCAAGCTGAAGCAAAGTCATACAGTGAAGGTCACACATCGCATTTCATGTGGAGAGAGAACTGAAACACAACTATAATCACTTGAATGGATACTAACCTGTTTTAAGTACTCTGAAGACACTCATTCCTACAGTCACTACAGCAGCATTAAAGCACAATTCTTATAAATCATGTTCAATTGTTGGAATCTTTGCCTATCTTAAAAATCTGCAATTTAGTATCAGGGTTTGTGAAAAACACCGTAATTTTTTCAATTATGGGTTATTTCTAAAACTTTCTGCCAGGGTAGGGAGGACAGAAAGGTGTAAGCGCATTATTTTCAATGCCTACTCAACATAAAAGGGGAAAATGTTCAACTATCTAAGCAGAAAAGTACCAACTCTGAATTAAGTCCTGAAGAAATTGCTGAGAGACATGCTACTGCAATTGGAAAGATCTCTCTTTGGAGTCCTAGGGAAAGAAATAATAGATACCTGTGAGGAGCGATGTCTGAGGAACACCTTGCAATAGGCCGAACGCCTCAGGCCCTGCCTGCGTGAAAGACTTCTGTCGATATAGAAAACGCTTCTCAAAGAGGGAGGATTTCTCTGTGACCAACAACTGAAAAATCTGCCTGATGGCATAAATTAATTTGTTTAGAGGAGTGCTCTAATTTACAAAATCAAATCAGGGTTGACTTTCAGATCAGACCTACCTACAGAAGACGGGTTTGCGCTGCTACCTCCGACAGCAAACTTCTAGCAGAGGCAAAGCTTCAGATTGCCTGATTCTGGTCCTTTTCCTCAGCTAAATGTGCTGTTGAGGAACTAGTCTTGCCAGAAGCAGGGACTGGAGTCACCCTCTAACAGGCTGTCTCACGCCGCACATCTGGAGTTCCACAATGCTGATTTGACTATGATCTGTTCTAAAACTGACTGAAACTCACCCAAGTGGGGTGTGGTAGCCCCTGAGGATGTTGGCAGTATTAGTCCAGCTCATATGAGACGCATATATTAATTTATATGCTGCTGTGAAATATCAGTATAGAAGTGATTAGAGAAGACAAGACATATGCTAAATATATTTTTCAAAACTTGTCAGAGAGACCCTTCACACTCAAATTAGAGATATCCTGGGG